ACAGATGGGTGTGAAATGCTTTTTGTCTTGAACATCAACTCTTAACTCACACAGAATTTAGACTTTTATTTCTTTATTTGTACACACACATACGTATCCATGTATATGTGTGCGTGTAGTACATGAATGCAGAAAATCTGTATTTCTGGTGCTTTGAGTAAATCATGGATGCTGGAGGTGCAGTCTCCTGTCTGATTCTAGAGTCTTCCATCTGAATTTGCCCAGGCCACTAGAAGATGGAAATCGTCCCATACTAAGGCTCGGCAGCTGGGGCTGAGCAGCATGCTTCTCTCACAGACAGACAAGGCCTGTGCTTAGCAAAAGCTCATCTTACTCCTTCTGGAGCAGGTTATGGGGTGTGCCTTGCAATGCTCACGTTACTCTTGGACTTTCTGACTTCTGAGGTCAGAAGTGGATAAAAGCTGTGGCAGTAGCGGCTGGATGCCATTTCCTTGTGGCACCGAGCATGAAATGCCACTGGCAATAGAGGGGCATCTTCATGTTGTGATCACCAGAGCTGTAGTTAATGTTGGGTGTTTTGTTCTTTGTAATTAAAGTTCAAATGACCCTTGGGCTGTATAGGGAAACTCAGGTTTGGCATCAGTCTAAGTGGCTGTTTGCAGCAGTTGTACCTTATTTGTCTTTCTGGCTGTTTTATTACAGCTGAAATTTGTGGAGATTTTACTTTCTGTTTTTCAGGATCACCTGACAATTAATGAACAAAGGTGCCACTCCTCCAGCAAGATGGTCGCCAAGTTTCTTTATCAAGGCCTCCTGTGTTGGTGACATGGTTTACAAAATCTGTCTTGAATGGTTCTGTCCCCAGTCTTCTGAATGTGGTGTTGAAGTACCATATCCCTCGGTGTACACTTGCATGCATCATTTATACCGCACTCTGTGCTTCTGCTTTGCCTGGAAGGTTGTTAGAAAAGGATTTGTTAGTGCATTTCTCTAATTTTCTTCTGGAGGTGATGCCCAAGCTCTGTGTGCCGGTTCCTTGACAAGAATTATCTTGGAGATTCTCCCATTAGAACTGGGAGTGTGCCTTGCGGGTGTCTCAACAATTATATGAAGGTCAGAGAAAGACTTTCCTTGAGGGAGAGGGACATGTTCCTTTGGTGGCAGATGAGGAGTCTGGAGTGGCATGTCCACAAGACTGCAGCCACAGTTGGTTTAGTGTAGCTGGGGTAGAGCAGATGGAAAGGAACAATCCCCTGTTCTGGCTGTCCTCACGGCTGGGCTGTTGGGAATGATACTGTGAGGGAGGGAGGCAAAGTGTATGGAAAGAATTAAAAAACCCTTCAGCAGCTCTCTGTTGAGTTGTATCTGTGTGTCTTGATCTCAGCTACCATTTCCTCTTTCCCATAGGCTGCAGGGGATGGTTGGTGTATGTGAGGTTATAGCTTGTATAAACACCAGTGTAAGTTGTTGTAGGGAGCCACAGGGCTGCATGGTTTGTTACTGCAGTCACTGAAGTTTCCCACTGCCTTCAGTGTCCAGGATATGAAAGTTACTGCTGTAAGATGGATGAATCCTAAAACACCAGTGACATAAATTTGCATTGGGTTCCTTCTTGGGTTATAGCCTGAAGTTTTGGGTTTTACCTGTTTCAGTGCCCCAGACAGCCAAACTTCTGCCATAGCTGGAAGTTTCATCAGCTGACTTACTTACTGGATGTTATCGATAAACAGTTTTCTATTAAGCCTAGTTACTGAGCATCAAATTGGAGCACCAGCTTCATCCCATCACCTGTGATTGATGAATTTTCTTTTAATAGTGCTTTTCATATGTGAAATTATTACTGTAATTATTAAGAGTCATTTAGAGCTGTGCTGCTCTTTCTGAAATAAAGTTTTTGAAGTGTTTTCATAACCACAAGGGAGGTGATCTAAACCTGTCGTGAGGCCCATTGTTTCAGTGCACAAGAAACTCCACGAACAAACCAACAAAACAAAAATCAAACCACACGGTTCTGTGGTTTGATTACTGAGAATACCAGTAATTAGCCAGTAAATTTTTGAGGAAGAAACTTGCCATCTAATGCCTTACCTTTTTCCTCTCCAACTGCAGATTCATAAGTTGCTGCATATTATGGTCTTACCCTGCCTTTCCATTTGTTTTTAATTAACTTCTTTGACCTAACTTACAGTCATTAAAGACTGCAGAGCCTGTGTTTTCTCCTTTTCTTCACGTAGTTGTAGCATGAAAGGTCTCTGGTTTACTTCAGAGCAAGAGTGGTTTGTTCTACTTTCTGCTGTGTTGCACTATTGGAAAGACCTTGCTCCTTGTCCTTGACTTGAAAAACAAGAACATTTTTCTTAAGCTTTTATTTTCACATGAAAGTTTTAATTCTTGTGAAATGGCATTTCCCCTTTCTGATCTGGAAAAACAGTCACAGTCAAGGAGGCAGTAAAATTGTCAGGAGCCTGTTACCCAGTGGTTTGGGTTTCTTTCATACTGAGTTTATCTAATGTTTACTTCTGTTGCTGAGAACTGTGAAAGTGTCTTTTAAAACGATGTGTAGTGGTGGGCACGTGTCCTTGAGTAGAGTACCGTGCCTGGCTTCATGTAATATTTTTTTTGTAGCTTTCTGAGTGTTTTCTGAGAGAGAAAAGTGACAAAACCAGCAGCGTGGGATGTTCCACAGGAGTAACTTTGTGTGCAGGAATCGTGTGGCCACTTTGCTGGGGGAAAGCACGACTTTGAAAATCTTTTAATAGTGCAGAATTGATGGGATGGCCGAGTACTTACAGAAATTGTTTTCATAGAAGTGCAGGAATTTGTACATTAAAACAGAGCAACTTGTTTCTGGATGCTAAATGTAGCTGGATTTATGCCTGGAAGATTATTCTGATGTTGAGTTCTTGTATGTTAGCTCCTTAAACAATTTATCCTATGGTGCTCAAAACCTTTACTTCAGATACCCTCTGCTGTGGTATCTTTCCCATTCAGGAGTATGTAAGGAAAAAATGAATTTAGTTTTGTAAAAGTATTAATCATATTTATTGTGCTGTTAAGTATACTCAAGTGATAGATTTATCTTTGCTTAATAATTGTTTGGACTGTTACTGACAGTTTGGATCAGATGAAATAGAGTATGTACTCAATGTCTTAGTATGTACTCAAAGGGAGAAGAGAGTCAAACTGTTGAATGTGAAGGGTATGCTGAAGGACTTGTAGGTGTATCCTGGGAGAAATGGTGACAGAATCTGGTCTTGTGTCCAAAGAACCACTGGTGTTCTGGTGTGGTTCTCATATTGCAGAGTACAGTGAAGGCATCTTTCTCCAGCTAAGGAGGCTTTCACAATACCAGCTGTCAGTGTAGTACAACCTGTGTGAGAGGGAAAACATGAAAAGAACTGGGTGGCAGTTTTCAACCTGGATTTGGGAACGATGGGAGTTCGTGGGTGCATTTGTAATGGTGAAAAGAAATGGGGAGATTTTATATGAGTGTATGCACCTACACAAGCTTTTGTTTATTTTCCTGTTGTCTTGCTGTTTAAGTGCCCTGTTTATGCAGTTTACTGCATTTTAATCTTCTATGTCTCATCCCAATCCATGAAGCATTAGGAATTGATATGAATAGTTTTCTGGATAGAGATATGCCGTGAAGAGCATCTTCATACTTGCACAGTCTAGTCCTCCTAGGGCAGGCTAGAGGGTTTTCTGTTTGTATGGCTCTATTTGTGTATTGTGTAGCCTCCTTTGGTTATCACTGGGATGCACAGCTGCTTCTAACACTCACCAGTTCATGCAGATCTCTCCAGCCTGTTAGAAACCCCCAAACCAAAACCCCAACAAATCTTGTGCATTGAGCATAGTAAAATAAGGAAAATTCTTACTATTGTAAAAAATTATCATCAAGAAGAAGAGTTTCTGCAGTGTGTGTTGTGTATTGTAAGTTGTGTCTGATGCACTGAACTAGGGACAGAAGGCGGTGGAACAGCAGTTTCACTTCCTCTGCTGTGGGGAAAATGCATGAATTAATTGTTTGGTGTTGGTGTTTTGGAGTTGAGGGATAACATGAAACCAGTGTAAACCACAGGCAACCTCTGATAATATCAGTGAGCCATAATGTAACCTGTTACACAGAAAGGGAAATTGATACACTATCTTCAGGGTGTGTATTTGTATTTTAAATTGCATGTGAGGATTTAACACCAAAGGGCTCAAGGTGCAAACCAAAACATTGTCCCCTCCTTTACCCCTCTTCCCTCCTGCCCCATTTGCAATGCCATACATACTAAACTGCTGCATTGGGGTGGACTGGCACAAGGCAGTGTGATATTCCATACTGAATATGCCTTCTTATTAAAATCTTTGGCCAGTAGGTGGTTGTTCTGGAGGAGAAGGTAGATATAACCAGTCTGATTCAGAGGAGAGGCAAGGAGGTTGAGCTGTGAGCAAATACTAGTGATGTGGTGTTGGGAAATACCACGCTGTATGGTGCAAGCAGTGGGCAGAATTAGATCCACTAAAGCATGAACTGGCTTTTTTTCAAATATAAAACTTATTTTCACATTCGTATTTTCTTCTAAAGGCAAGTTCAGATCTAGGCCTTAACTCTTAAATAAGAACAAGAGAAGGTATCATGCTTTCTATGCTCCCCGAGTAGTCCTTTTTGCCGTAGCTGTTTATACTACCCAGTTGTGATGAAGTACCTAGAAGTGCCTGTTTCTGACACTTATGCAGGTAAATAGAATGGCCTGAAGAGTTTCTAGGTAATTATCTCTATGCAGCTGAATTTATCTGCAAGTCACATGAGAGTGATACTTGGAATTCAGTCATGTTGTGCTATGAGTTAGATTTTGAACTAGTATTTTTGGGATTGACTCTAATGGCTTCTGTCTCTTACTAGAAGTTACAGAGTCAGCTGCCTATCGACAGCTGCTCTACTTGTTTGATCTGGGTGTAGGGAAAAAGAACAAACTTGTTATCCTGGTACTCATTTGGCTGGTTTCAGGTATAGTAATTGAATTTTGTTTCTTGGTCCCTTTCAGCTTGTACCTCCTTTTAAACCTCAAGTGACATCGGAGACAGACACCAGGTATTTTGATGAAGAATTTACAGCTCAGACTATTACAATAACACCGCCTGAAAAATGTAAGTCAGAAATTACACGTAAGCATAATTTAAAAATAATAAACTCCTAATAAAACACTGCAGAAGGGTTTTTCTGTTTGAATGGAAAAGCTCCTCACTGTTACTAATAAAAATCTTCATATGGAAGCATGTAAGAGTAACTCTCAGTGACAGTGTTCTTTTAAAGGAGGAGTAATTACAAAGGTTAGACTATTAGATCACTCTGGGTTGGGTTTGGGGGGCATTCTTTTGGTTTACTTTTGTTTTGTTGTCATTTTAAATAAAAGAAAACACCGGCTTCAAATGTTTGCTGATTGGCATCGAGGTCCCAGTTCAGCAAAGTACTTGGAGCATGGGCCCTGCTTTAAGCACATTGGCCACTGCTGGTGGCTTCAGGGGGTTCTAGGTTCGCTGAGTTGGACATATTTTAAAATGCTTCGAAGACAAAAGGGGTAAAATAAAAAAAGTGGAGGTGTCAGTTACCTGAAAATGAATTTTCCCATCAAAGTCGTGTGCTTCAGCAGAGCCTTTAAAGACGTTCCCAGTATAGATGTAACTGCTCTGCTGGGCCTTGCAGTTTGCTTGTTGGAGTGAGTGTAATGTCACCATAGTTTATGTTTTTGTCATCTTCTGCTACATACGCAAGAATCATGATCCAGTCGGCTAAGCCGGAGCTTAACAGAGTTCCTTACCAAGGCAGAGCAGTTAAAGTCTCGCTGCTGAGTTCTTGAATGAATTTCCTTTATAAGTGAGATTTTTTTTTATCTTTTTTTTTTTTTTTTATCAGAGGATGGGGAAGTAGGATCACAAAGGTGGACTATAAAGGCTGTAGTTAAAGTTGTTTACCCTTTCATACAGCTGCTTATGTTTTGGTGTTTTAGGATCCCCGGGCTTAGCTGCGGTTTTCTGTTGGCATACAGATCTGGAGTATTTTCTGGATTTTGCATTTCAGTGTTTAAACAGAGTCATTTAAGTCTCCCTGCTGTGACAAAAATACACCTTTCTTCTCCCATTCATCTTGATAAGAATTTGGTCATATTCGTAATCTGAACAAATTTTGTTAAAACTTGGATTAACTTGGAGTCTGTTGACTCCGTATCATAAAGTCCTGATCTCTTGAAACGTCACATGTGCAATGAGAATGGCTATTCATCCCTTGAAGGCTGAAGCAATAGAAAATATGTGATAGGCTACCAAGACTTCAGCTTTACATTTACTGAATTCAGAGCAGGTGATCAGTACCCATGCAGGAAAGTGACCGACTTCCCTAAAGTACCAACCCTGGCCCTGGTGGTGGTCTGGCTGCTGCAGAATGAAACATGGCATGGGCTGCAACCTCACCCCAGTCCCGAGAATAATATAATGGGGGGGGGGGTGATGCCCAGCAGCAGTGCAGAGATCAGCTGCAGCATTGCTGCTGGGGGAAGCCCTCCCAGAGGGCTGGCAGGGCTGCATTGCCCAAGGCGGCGGTAAGCAGCATCGGTGGCAGCACAGAGGTGTAAGTTCTCTTGTGCCAGGTAGATCTGGAAAACTGCTGCCCCTTTCAGTGAGCTGCAGTGGCTCGAGGACCACAGGGGCTTCCATTTGCTGAGTACCGCAACAGGAAATGGTTTTAAATTATTTTATTTTAAAATCTACAAGTAAATGTATTATGCACAATGTGGCATTATGTCTGCCTGCTGTGATTATGCAAGAGGGGGTTGAAATGTGTTTTAGGTTGGGTTGGTTACTGTGTATCAGAAAGGTAAAGTTCCCACTGAAGATCTTTTATAGTTGCAGAAATAATTTTTATAACATTCAGACCAGTTATTCAGATACCAAAGCTTTACAAATCATGCTCAGTGAATATTGAAACTATCTTCTATCTACAGCAATCAAACTGATACCAAAACAGGCTCTGTTCATTAACCTAATTTAAATTAACAGTTTGAAAGGGAGATTGTACTTGAAGTTACAGAACTGTAACTTCAAGTTGACACTGTTGAAGTCAGGTGGCCTAATCAGAGCAATTGCTCCAACCTGCATTAACTGTAGGGTTTTATATGTAGAGTGCATAAGGTACAAAAGATACATAATCTGAAAGGTTGCATATAAATACACTCTTAGAATAACAGTTTCAATAGAAGTCTTTAAGGATAAGCACAAAAATCCATGTGAGAATGTAGATCCAAATTCTCAGAGTTAGACAACACCTGGTGCCTGGTTTCCATTGGCACTGCAGGAATTATGTAAATAAAAATATTTATGAATTTGGCTTAGTCCATGTTTCCTCTGATCCCAGTAAATACTGTAAAAATAATTTACTAAGAAATAATATGTAAGAATTGAAACCCATAGAACCTGCATGAACTGTTCATTTTGTAGCTATTTTTCCTTTTAATTCCCTTCAAAATGGAGGAATATTGAAATAAGATTATAATTTCCTGAACTCAGCTTAAGAAACAATGAAGCTGGCTGCTTTGATCAGCCATCAGCTTTTGTGCTACCGGAAACTAGATGTGCTGGCGTGTTTTGAATAACCTAGAAGGGGTAGTAATAACTGAATTTCTCAGGTGATAGTCATAATAAAACAAACAAACCAACCAACCCACCCAGCCTGAAACAGATGGTGACTTATTCAAAGGATGTCCTTCCAGGGAGCATCGCTCTACCGTGTAAGCATAAGCTTACATGACTAAAGTCTTGCTTCAACTTGAGCCTTTAACCTCAACATTGAACCCTGAAAGATGTGCTGAGTATCAGGTGAATAATAAAACTTTGTTGCAAAAAGAATGACATGTTGAACTTCTCCCTTAATACAGATGACGAGGATGGTATGGACTGCATGGACAATGAGAGGCGGCCGCATTTCCCCCAGTTTTCCTACTCTGCAAGTGGACGAGAATAACTTTTTTGTTCTGCTGCTTCACTGTCATCTTAGGTTTATCACTGAAAATGGTTCCTGAACATCACCACCAGTACTAGAGACTATTTAAGATAGCAGGGGCACTTTCAGAGACCATTCCAAATTGAACAAGTTGCTTTCCCAAACCTACCTAAAATCCATTTTGGTTTGCATGAAATAGGAGAATTTCTCTACTACGCTCTCCCGCTGTTGCTGCTGCCCACAGTCTCAGTATAATAGCAACGTCAAGAAGTTACTAACAGTTTCTCTGAAAGTAGATGACTTGGCTTCAGCAATGTACACCTTGTGCACAAGTAGTCATCTATTTCTCCTCACAGTGGAAGCTAAACAAAAAACATGTTGGTCCAGCTTATCTTCTTCGAGAAGATGTATAAAAAATGTAATAGTCTAAAGAGACTAGTCTATAACCTTTCCTTGCATCTGTTTGTGCTGGTTAGAGCAAGGCAACATAGGGGTGGTGATGTACATATGCAAGGTTTTTGTTAGGCATATCATTACTTGAAGCAGGTCTCTGTCATTAACATCTGGCTGGAATTTGTTTGGGGAATGTTTGCGAGAAGGACTTAAACTGTTGATATATATAAATATATATATATATATTATTTTTTAATTACTGTTGGATACTACAGAAGAAGCAGAAGGGCTGGGCTCACCCGGCCTGCCACTTAGAACTTCCAGGTTCATGTGCAATCATGGAGAATCAAACATTATACATGCAAGAAATGAAGGCATAAAAGCAGCAGTTTAAGGGGTCTTATAATTTGCACCAGATAACATCTTTCTCATGCTTTTCTTTTTCTTTCATGATATACATCACCTCTGATGGCTGAAGAATGTAGACAGGCATAATGGTATTGCTTTTCACCAAAATGTGTGCACCAAGGTAAACAGGTGTTTGCCTTACTCGTTTTTCTTTTGAGGTTGTGAATTAGCTTTTTCTCCAGGTGTTTAACTCTGAACAGTCTTTTTATTTTGGTTGTTTTTTTTGGTTATACTGCGGTAGTATTTATTTTTAGAGATAAGGATTGTATGTGTCATGTTTGCAAATGCTGCTACATCTTAGATAGAACAGGCTTAGAGCAGTTAATTTTGTACTATATGGAAGGACTGTACAAGCTGAAGGGAATAATGCACTTTTCTCCCATGTGGAAATTTTAACAAGGCTCTGAAATTGTACACACTGCGTAGAATCAGATTTTTATGAAAGGAATGCTGTCGTTTAATCATTTGGCAGTGGAGGTGAGGAATTCCAACTTCATGTGCCAAAGGGTTAAAAGGAAGCAGACAAAAAGACTACATCTTGTGCTCCATAAATGTGATGTAAGAGGCTGATGGCACAATAGCAAATTTCTGTTCTGTATGAAGGAATTGCATTTGAACAAGATCACCGTGATTACAAGAAAAGCACTTTATTTTAATGATTAAAATAGTAAATTTCTGGGATCAGCCATTCTCAAGGAGGGTTTGCCCTCAACCGAAAGTCCCGAAACCCATCATGTTACATGTAACTGTGGTACCTGATTGATTGAATTTAAAGCATCACGAGAAACGCTCCACTGATAGGAAAAGGTCTTTTCGTTTCCAAAGATCTGTCTCTAAAAAAACCATGTGCATAAACTTCAGCTTTGGTCTTCAGCAATGATAATCTTAATAATAAACCCTTTGGTGCTAGGAGTCGGGACGTTAGGCAGCGCGGTGATAGTGCGCACGTATCCTTGCTAACGACACCCAAACCCCCTGACTCTGTGGGATTATCATTCGAAGTATCTCTGCGTTCGGATCATGTTAGGTCCCATGAAGACTGTGATAGCGCAGAGTATTGCTGGTTGTGTTGTATGAATGAGTAGACGAGTCTGTGAAGAGAGATACTCCTCTGCAGATGCCTTGGCCTCTTGATGCGAAAGGCTGTGTGCCCTAGCATGAAGCCCACTGCTGGCAGTGCATTTGCTGGGACAGTCAAGGGGCAGACAGGCATTCAGCAAGGCAGCTAAAGACACAGACTTATTTAGAGTTATTCATGTTTTGTGTTTTCTCTTTAGTAATGGATGGATAATCAGTCAGAAATATATCATGATGTATATTCTAACTACATAAGATCTCCTTCTGTCACCTTGTAACACTAAACACGTCTAGGGATTAGATTATCCCTCTGCAGAGAGAGGTGCATAGCACATGCATTGCGGGTCTGCTTGGCACTGGAGGCATAGAGGTGTCTGCGCGCTGATGCAGTGAGTGACTGAAGTAACTGAGTACTTATCAATCAGATGGGCATTAATGAGTTTTCTGCAAAGACCTCGTGCTTACAGACTGAAACTATAGTGATTCAGAATCTGTTACATGCCTGTGTTTTTCCCCCTGTGTTGTCAGCTTGTAATAGCAATAAGTTTCTTGACACAGGGCTTCTGTAGCTAATGCCCAGCCAGTGCCATGCCTCTGGCCAGCCGCTTCTCATGTGCAGAAGCAGCCCTGTGGTTAGCGCACCATTGCGTAGTGAGCTAGAGTGCGGTTTGCAGTAAATACCTGTCAGTGAGCTATTTCAAAAACCCGTCTGCCTTCCAGAACATCATTGAGCAAGTTTATGCTACAGAGAGAGTCAGTGGCCACTTCGTGCTGCCCAGGGTTGGGGAATTCTCTCTCTTACCAGTGTTAGAAGGGGATGAAAGAAAGGCAGTGCCGCGTGAAACTCTTGAAGCTCTTCTTTTGCTGTTTGCAGTTGCGGTTGGATTTGGGTGGGAGGTGGTGGCGGTTACCTTGGCGAGCCTTTGGAGCACAGTACGTTTCAGACTTTGACTCCAGCTTGTACTGACTTCCATGACCTAGAGTATGCCCTCCTTGTACTGCAGCCATCTCGGAGGAAGTAGGTCATTTCTGTTTGGATTTTGGCAGTTTTGCACACAGCTTCGCTTTCCACACTAATCCATCTTCCAGTACATTCCTGTCGCTTAAAGAACATTTATTCCAGTATTGTTTTCCGTTTTTTTTTCCATCTTTACTTGCGGCTTCTTCAAGCTGACTGTTCTTGCAGGGGCCATGTGCTTCTCCTAGAGTACAAAAGTAAGGTCGTTCCTTACTAACTGCAGGGTCTATATATTACACCTCAATGTACACACTTTGCTGCTACTGTTTGTACTGTCTACAGTAGAATTTCCTTATCTTGCTCCTGGTAGTGCATTACAGGCAAGCATGAAATGTAAAGTATTTATTTAAATAAAAACCTCTAAATTGGTAATTGAATTACCTCCCTGTAGCTTTAGAGTTTGTGACATTTCTTGACCTTGCTAGTTCTTTCATTAGATCCATGCAAGATCTAGTCATATGGTTAAGGATATTAAGCAGACACGACTATGAACCCAAGGAACCGTATTACTGTAGGTCATACTTAAACTGTTTATTTCCTTAAGTATATGACCCACAAGGATGTGAAATAACTACAAGAAACTGTTTTTGTACACTGTACATCCTTAGTATTTTTACACGTATATGATAGGGATGCACATTATTTTCCTTCGTACAGACAGCTTAAATAAAGCACTATGTCAATCTGCTACTTCTGTGTTTTTTAATGCTAATTTGTTCTGGAGGTTTGTAAATATATATATATATATATGTTCAAGCTTGCCACAAAGGACGTATTTTTTTATATCTGCACATTACTATTAAATATCTTAGCGGATAAAATTCCTAAGTTGTTCTGTGTCAGAGAAAGAAAAACTGAAATGAGAAGGCTATATTGCAGATTACAAAAGATTTCTCGAGTTTTGGGTTAAATATTTACTTCATATTTTAAAGTAATTTTATATAGGTTAGACATTTCAATCCTGAAATGCACAAAGAATTTACTTAATTTCTTTTTACAAGAAAATGTACATCGTTATTTTTTTATCACTCTGTATATAATGACCTGTGCATGTTTAGTTACAAGTTTTATTTGCTGTGAAGTCCTAGTGATAACTGTAACTTGCTGTGACGTATTTCAAATGCTGGGTGATCAGTTTCAGCTTGTACATTATTAAGTTACAGTATTGTCAAAAAAAAAAGTTTTTATGACCAAGCAAGATGTATCTGTGCTTTGGACCAAGGCTGTTCCCATACAGATGGATCATGTTAATTCCACGAGGTGCATGTCACTTGTAAAAGGAAATTTGGGTTGCACTTTGGAAGGAATGATGGGCTATGCTCCTATCAGAACACCCACGATTGAAGTGATTTGTCATCTGATGAAATTCCTAGCCTTGCATCCTGGAGCTAAGTAATGCCTTAGGGTAAGGAGAGGAAAAAACAGGCAGGTGGGATTTGCAGGGCACCTCGGAGTGGGACTCTTTGAAGCCCATGAGCTGGCCCAGGGCCATTTGCACCAGCCGGCTCTGAGGGCTGAGTGTCCCTAGAGCAGTCGCCTGGGTTTTAGCTCAGGTCTGGGGCAGGAAGGCTTCCTTGGAATGGGAGGTGCTTTGTCCAGCTCTCAGGGTTTGGACTTTTTTTTCCTCCTGTTTTCTCCCCCACCTTGTAATTAATAGGGAAGCGCATGACCCAGTAGTTCGGTGGGAATAGGTGACTGGTGATCAGCTGCAGCAGCAGCAGGACTGTCTGGCCAGGCTGCACGCCACGTCACAGGATCCTGCTCCGGCTGTGGATGTGGGATCTCCTGGATTTGGTCACCTAGTCTGACACTTGTAAACCCAAGCATTTTGTGCCTAAGGAGAAGTGAGGTGGGGAAGAGCTTTAGACAGGTAGATCTGGTGCTGCCTGTGCTTAATGACTAATTAATTGCTACAAAATAGAGTAGCTGCTGCCTGGAAATAGATTCCTTCTAGACTCCCAGAAAGGCACTGGATTGAGCCTACTCCTGGGCTGAGTGTGAACACCTCCTCACCCAGGATGCATTGAGATGAAGTATGGCTGTGCAAAAGGTCCAAAAGGTTGAGGGTCCAGCTGTGCCTTGGGCCAGGGCACGGCAGCTCCAGGAACTCGGTGACGCCTAACTGTTGGGACTAGGTGCCAAGTTCTTTTGCGTGTGTAGTTTATAGGCACTTTCTCCTATCTACACACAGATTTATGCTGTGGAATAATAAAAAACAGATTTAAACAATAAGTTTGCATATTCCTATATTTATAAATGTATATTCTTACCTGTGTAACCATCCATAAAGTAGTGACACTTAAATAATTGTCAGCCTGATTACTGTGGAAAACCCAGTTTTTGACTGAACTTATTGTCATCAGGCTTTCTTGTCCTAAAAACTTGAGGCCATTTTAAGTGTGTTTATTGTCAGACTGGAAGCAGTTCAAGGAGGCAATCAGATGTGTTTGGCAGTTTAATGTGGCAGGAAATTGAAGTAGGGAGGAAAGCCCACTTTGATGTTAGGGTTGTACCACTAATAATTCTTAAAATGCAAAGCAAGGAAAGATTGTCCCCCACACAGAGCAAATGGTAACTTCTTGCATGTGTTGTTACTCCTATTTTTGTTATATCTTATGTATTCATGCTGGCTGAGGTAGCTTTATTAATGGGGAACTGTTCTTTGCACTTTTCCCCCCTTTACTAAAGCAATTCTACAGGTACACTGAAGGTAGTAGATGTAGAAGCTTTTTTCATATGTACGTAGATTCTCCTGTGCTAGTTAGCAGAAGATTTAGCTGAATTATTTCTGAAACAGTCCGGTATTTGGAAAGGAACTTTTCAAAACCCAGGTGTGCAGTTAACCAGAAAAAAGCCCTCCATGTATATCCTCCAGATGTTTTAAGTTCAGTAATTTGAAGACAAGTTCAGCTGGTGCCCATCTGAGAGAACTGCTCAATATTTGCTGGTGGGAA